AATTTTTTAAATTTTTTTTTTTTTTTTTTAGAATAATTAGTAAGAATTTTAATTTTAATTTTATTTAAAAATCAATTTAAACATTTCGCAAAAATTAATCTGAAATTGTAGAAGTATCTAAACATTCCAAATTAAATTAATAACRTTATGATCTATWGAGTTATTTAGTAGTAAGTATAATAGGCGGTATAGGTACTATATTATACTTATATAAATTATGATAATTGAATTATAAATATTAAATACTACTTTTTAGTATTTGTAATCAATATTTAATAGTACCTGCATACTATGTGTGAATAGACTATATAGTACCTATATGGTATAATTAGTATATTATACCGTTTTAGTACCTATATTATATACAGAGTGTCCCTAGAAGATTTACCCATTGCGATATCTCCCGAAATAATGGTGATATCGAAATTCTGATTTTGTAATAAAACTCACAGGGATAAGAACTACAATTTTTTCATATTTTAATTTATTTCAATGTTTTGGTAAAAAAGTTAAAAAATTTATTTTTATATTTAACTATTTCCAAAAAAATTAAAGAGCCATTTTCTAGAGTTTATTTTTCTGAAAATATTGAAGTTTCAAAATGTTGTTTTCATTAATTTCCTGATTTTTAATATTTTTTTAGTTTCGAGAAAAATTGCGAATTATTAACACCATAATGTTATCAAACATGTGAGCCGCCGCGCCGCGCGCATTCCCATACAGTCGGCTGAATACTTTCAGTGTTCCTAATATATATAGTTATAAATTTATTTCTTCATAACTAGAAAAAATATTAAAAATCAAGAAATTAATGGAAATAAATTTTGAAATGTCAATATTTTCAAAAAAGTTAACTCTACAAAATGGCTATCTTTAATTTTTTTGGAAATAATTAAATAAAAAAATATATTTTTTAAATTTTTTACAAAAACATTAGAATAAATTTAAAAATGAAATAATTGTAGTTCTTAACCCTGTGAATCTTATTATAAAAGCAGAATTTTGATATCTCCATTATTTCGTGAGATATCGCAATGGGTAAATCCTCGTGGGACACCCTGAATATATGATCTATACCAAAAATTAAATACTTGCCGACAAATTGGCTAAAACTTGCTTGTATGTTTTTTGCTACATTGTAGTCCCGAAAGAAATCCTAAAAAAATAGATATTCTTATTACATGTATATTAGTGTCCAGTGGCGTACACAGTGGGTGTCTAATGGGCTGAAGTCCCTCATCCCCTCCACATTGCCYATATTATTATTAATTTCAGTAAAAAATATTTATTAAATTTCAAGGACGTAAATTCATTACCGGATTATCTATAGCCAATAACTAATAATACAAATATATATAGGTAGGTTTAACTTATTTTTGCAAAAACACTGTACCTATATTTGTTTATAGGTACCATATTTTGTAAAATAATCAGAAATTTTGTGTTTAAAGTATGAACTATACTTATATATTTATATGAGAAACCTTATTATTTTGAACTTAAAATTAAGGATGGTTTTATAAAAAATTGAACTGTTATAATGATAATCAAAAATAATCAATAATGTACCGTCTGTATCATTTAAGTAGCTATAATTAAAGCGTATAAAGAAACCTTCTGTTACAATTTTAAATATTTTGACCGAACGAATAATTTTAGAAAATAAAAAACTAAAATTAATCAAATATTCAATCCAAAAAAAGATGGCTTAATGTTTAAAAAACAATTTTAACAAATTTTCTTTTATTTATTTTTGTTTTTCCTGATAACTTTAAAAAGTACTGAGGATTTTCAATTTCAAATCCCTAAACTGGATTTAATTTTCTTCCAAATACTTCCATCGAAATTTATGATAAGAGTATTTTTTCTACTTAAAAAGTTGAGTAGTTGGAGTTATACAAAGTTTTAAGAACCTCGTCTAAACGTCTCACGTTTGAAATTATTAGACTGAACAATATAAAAATAAAATTGTAATTCATTTTCAATACTCTCTCTTTCCATTGAAAAATTCTGCATACCTACGCTACTATATCTATTCACTGACTTCTGACTTGGTTATAATCGTATCTACTTATATATAATATAAAGTAATATTTATTAGATCAAAAAATATTATAGCTAGTATGGGTATCAAACCAATGCAAACTGGTCAATGTCATCTGGTATAAACTCTTGATTGAACGCGTAATACTGCACATGTAAACATTCCTTCATTGACCTGTGACAAAATAACGTGTATAATAAGAATATTGCTATAGTCTAAAAGAAATAATTATCAAAGGTTGCAAAACAAAATTTAAAAAAAATTACATGTAAAATAATTTACAATGGTAAATATAATATTATATGGCTATAGATATTAATATTATATTATACTTCCGATCAGAACTCAGTCATATTATTATCTATTATAATTATAATCATAGGTGAAACTATGGGCCAGGCCACTAAGGCCATGGCCTGACCTAATATACTAACTGACATAGGTAATACAATTTAAAATTTAAATAAAAAAACTTATTTTATAATTAGAATTTGTTTTTCATATTTTTCTTTTGGCCTGTCCTAATACAATTTTCTAGTTTCATCTTTATAGTATTTAGTTTTGTTAGACAATTTTACGTTATTTTCAATATATCAAATGAAAACTATTATACTTTTAAAAATGTACATTACAGAACGCAGACACTTTATACAGTCTGATAAAAAATTTTATTTTAGAACGTGTACACTGTACTATTATATATTTATATAAAGCATATACTTATGTAGGTAGTTATGTAATATTATGTAAATATAAGTAGGTACAAATACCCATGTGTAATGTTATGAAATTTGATAAGATGTAAACATTATTTTATTTATTTTATATTTAAAAGTTATTTAAATATAAAATAAATAGTATATAAATAAGCCAAAACAAACAATTTTTTTAAATTTCAAATTAGCTGGGTAGCCAGGGTCGGACTGGCCTATGCAACAGACTGGCATTAGCCAGTGAGGCCCCCTTGTCTGTATGACGATATCGGGCCCTACCTAACAGAAAAATCATAATTATAAAATTTAATATCAACTGCATTTGCCATCGTAATGTGCATTTGCCATTTATGTACTATTTATTTTATATT